CATAACACAAATGTATAAAAAAACCTATGACCCCTCTAAAAGGTGTTAATCACAGACTGGTCAGTGGCACAAATGGCAGAAATATTGGAGAAGATTTTTGTCGTACCCTCAGCAGAGCTCAGTGTCTGGCTGCTCTTAGACTGTTGGTCGTTCTCTCTCTGGGCCTGCTGGACACTCTCTCGCTGTTCCTTGGCTTGTTGCATAGTGTGACTCTTCCACATCTTTCTCAGCTCCTCTACATCCGTCTCTGAATCTCGAGTACCATCTCTGGTCAGTTTAGCCCCATCGGGGCTGCTTTCCTGTCCCGAGGCCTCCCCTGCTCCAGGGGCCAAACTTTGAGAACCTGAGGAGGGAGCGACTCCTTCGGTCTGGCAGTGGGGTGGTTGCTGGTGGTCCCTGCTGGTGGGTGTGCTTGGCTGTTCCTGGCTGGGTTGTTTGGGCTGGGCAGTTTTGCTGGCTGGTTCTCCCTCCTCTGGCTTTTTCTCCTCCTCCTCTGTATGGCTGCCCTCAGCCGTCTGAGGTTCCTGAAGGAGGGTCTGCATGGATTGGGACGAGGCTCCTGATGACTTGTCCTCCTGCTGTAGCTCCTCTGTGGACTGCCGCTCCTCCCGGATGGGCGAGAGCTCTGACTCTGTGAAGACATCCTCTGAGATGGAGCCCTCGGTGCTGCGGGGGGCAGTGCTGGCGCTGTCATAACCCTCCCGCAGACGCTGATCCGTTTGATGAGAGCTTCCAGAGAACACGGCTTCAAAATCCCTGTGGCACAAACAGAGAGAATGAGAGATGCACCTTCTAGAAAACTAATATTGCATATCTAAAGGTGTCTTTACTGCTCTATGATGTGGCTTTGGTTCAACCTCATAGTATTCTTCAATGGTAATAGCATAAATAATCATTCACAGATACCATTGTATGCACCGCACTTAACTTAGTTATGTCTGAAATAACATGAAATAATAAACAAAACAATAGAAGGACTGGACCATTTAAATGTTAAATGTTAAACTATGTCTATTCTATCTACTTTGTTTTCTTTTTATTTATATAAAAAAAAAAAACTTGACCCTCTAACACTAGCATTCTCTATTCTTTTTCTATTCTATCTACTTGTTTACTTTTTAATTATTATAACTAATTTACTAATACTAATTTATATTCTTTTTATTTATTATTTAAAAAAGAAAGAAAGAAAAAAAAAAAGCCTTGCTATGTGAGCTGTGTTAGACTAACTGGGACTTATCACAGCACATATATTGTAGCTCTTTTGTTGGTTCAATTGCTTCTATTGTCCTCATTTGTAAGTCACTTTGTATAAAAGCGTCTGCTAAATGATTAGTGAAAGTGAAAGTAAATCTACATGTGTTCTTAAAATGTGTGCATTCAGTTTTCTCTGAAAAATGGTAAGGGTTTAATCAGTCCACACTGCAATGCAGCAAGAAAGTGAAAAACTTACAAATAAATATGGTAAAATAATTATTAATATAATTATAATAATTCTATAATTAAAATAATTATGTTTTTATATATTATTATTCAATAATAATAACAATAATAATAATAATGTAAAAAAACCCCCATTATTATTATTATTTAGAAGCTTCATTCAGTTTTCTCCAAAAATGTTAAGGGTTTAATCAGCCCACATTGCAATGCTCTGTAAAAAGAAATAAAGACAAATAATATTGTAAATATAAAAATAATATGTTTTTATTCACATTATTATTATTATTATTATTATTATTGTTGTTGTTGTTATTGTTAAGAAGCTTCAGTGAAAATAGTAATAATTTTTCCTTCTTTTATTCACATTATTATTATAATTTTAATTAGAGGCTTCCATAATTAGAATATTATTGAATTCTGTAATACTAACAATAACAACAATGCAAAGAATTATTGTTTCTTATTTTTATTTCCTTTTTTAAATGAATTTTTAAATTTTAATTAAAATGTAAAGATACTGTAAAAACTGTGAAGACTTAAAGTCCCCATGAAATCAAAATTAAAGTTTTTTTGGGTGTTAGTATCAATATGTTAGTCTTAAGGTTATCTATAAGGCAGTGTGCTCCAAAACAGTGACAAAATTCGCATTTAGAAGATATAAGCATTCAAAGCTTGCAGTTCGTCACTTCCGCCAAAACGGCTCACAACGGCTCTAGCCCAAGCTGTGATATAAACGAACGCTATTGGCTATTTTAAAAAGGGGCGGGGCTGCTTGATATGTCCCGCCCTGTCTTCCTGTTTCAGTTAAACTGACGTCAACACATAGAGTAACGCTGCGTGCTTCTAAGCATTTCAGGGGACCTTTAATACAACAACATAATACAAACCCACTTCCATACAACATGATGTTGTGAAACTTCAGTGACTAAGGTAATATGACAACCATAGCGTGCTGTGCACGAGAATCAACTTTTGATTCTCTTATGCCCTGTTTCTCACCACTGTGATATTTCTGTGTCATATTAAAAAGTCTAAAATGCACAGACTTCTTATCATGATATGTCATGTCAGATGTGGCTTCTGTACTGCAGTAAAGCCACAGCTTGAGACATCTGAAACACAAGTGCACAATGACGTGTGTCTGTCTGGATGGTACGTGGGAGGTGGATAGAAGTACATAATCAAAACCATTTGGAGCAATTAATAAGAGTACAAGCCAACATAAAAGTGCATAAATGAAAAGTAGGTCCCTTTGTCTGTACATCTGCACGATCAAAGGCGTCTATGCTTCACATCCACAACTGAGACCCTGCAGTGAACCCCGTCTGACTGATGAACCAGCCAACACAGCTCTGAGCTGAATAAAACACCACACATCATCATTCATAAACTAACAGAGGATATAAATATCTGGGGGTGGAAACACTGCTAAAATCATTAACTTCTTATTACAAATCGAAATGGGTGAGTAATTCAGACGTAGGCGGCTGCATTCATGCTTCATTAGCCTTAGAGTAAAAATCCATTTCCTGTATAATAAAGCTGAACTGTAGATATCTGAAATAATTGTACATGCTCACCGCAAACAAAATATTGATTTGTCACATGAGAGATCTTCAATCTAGATAAGACATCTGAAGATGAATCCAATTAATAACATGTAACGCTTAACATGTAACTACTAGTCTGGTGGCTCAAGTCGTTTTTATAATTTAGTTTTTTGGCCTTTGCGCCACTTATAGTAGAGCGAGGACAATAACTTACTTTGGCATGTGAATCTTGTGAATCCTAATTAATAATACGTTTCCGATTCGTTCAAGAACAATTTTTTGCAAATTCAGAATGATTCATTTTGATTGGATTCACAATAATATTCAATTTCGATTAATTATCTGATTCTGTATTTTATTAAATGCATTTATAGAATTATTTAAATACTAACATGTCTTAGCCAAGTAAAAGACAAACAACTAACTCTATGCTGTGTCAGTATGAAGCGAGAGGTCTTACGGTGGTATGGAGTCACGGATCTTGCTGTCGGTGATCTCTCTGTAAACGGCTGCAGACTGAACCTCATCCAGTGGACACATGATGCCGTACTCCTCACAGCCTCTCTCCAGAACCAGAGGGTCTGTCCGGTGAGGGTCAAACATGATATTGTTGGGCGTCACCAGCAACACCCCACTAACAACACCCTGTGACACATGACACAAGGACGCCACATGACAGTCAGTCAGTTTATCAGTTAAAGTCAGTTAATTGTTGATTCAGTGATGTCATCGTCCAGCTCAGTTCAGTTCTCTTCCAATAGTGTCTGTGCAGTCAAGTCAACAATGTTGCCAGAGATTGTGTCCCCAACTAAGCAAGCCAAAGGTAAACAGGACAGAACCGAATTCAGTTCCCTTTCAGTCGGTCACGTGCGACGTATGTCGGAACTGACCGACGAATTGGGGATCGCTTTGGGAGACCAATCTACTTCGAGTGTAAAAAAAAACGAGCCAATGCACATTGGCATGCGATAATTGCCACAGCTGCTCTGCGCTGCAGCGCGAATATTTAATGAGCAGCCGGTGCGTCGCATATTTGCTTTTCGCTTCGGACCCGAACACATGTGCTGTTCCTGCTTGTGTTTTTTCTTTGGAAAGTGGTGGAAGACAAGCTGCTCGTTTAGGAAGGAGCCTCTGCGTGTCTGGTGCGGGTGTGACGGTGCTGACAGTGTTGCCGCAATTGCCGCACATCACGATGCAGTTGATGGTAAGTCTCTTGGTAAGCACGACCTGGTCGTCAGGTTCCTTAGAGGGGCGAGGAGGTTGAACCCTCCTCATCCTACCTCGGTACCCTCTTGGGACCTGTCTCTGGTGCTCACGGCACTGCAGAGACCTCCCTTTGAACCTTTGCAGTCAGCTGAGTTGAAAATTCTGTCACTAAAGACAGTTCTCCTGACTGCATTGGTGATTAAACTTCAAAAGGCAATGATGTCATTGCATAAATATGAGCGGTGCACGTTTCAAGTCAAAACGCGGCACGGATGTCTTTATTTGAATGTATCTGAAGGGAACCGACTGTCCTCAGAAACGTGTCGTTGACATTTTAATTTAATTTTACCTATAATTCCTGATAAAGCAGCGTTTATGAGCGCGGAGCTGCTTTGTGTACAGCCGTTACCGGGGAAACCGCAATATTTCAGCGCTCCT